ATTGCTTTGCTGCAAATATTTGTACTCATGAGCATTCCTCAAGATTGATTTCTTTGTACAAAAACATAAATGATAAATCGACTAAAAACAATCAGAATAGGCAATCCATTATCTATGAGAACACGCTCCTTAGTTGCAATCACTGTATGAAAATCAATTTAAATGGTTGTCCTAGTTGTGGTTGATTAAGATACATCTTTCTAAAAAAATCATAAAACTTATTGTTAAATTGTTAAATAGTTATATGAAGCGTTAAAATATAAAAGTGGCATGGTATAGATTTTTTTTTTGTTTATTATAAACAATTTCAATAAATGTATCAACTATAGGTGATAAAAAAGTTGCATGGTTCTTACATACGAGTTCTATAATTTTTACTAGACCAAATCGAGACCACATGTGTCCAGGACACGCAACATATATTAATGAATTGAGAACAAATTCCAAATGACTATAGTTTACAAACTATCTTGAATTTTTTGCATTCATTTCTTTATACAATTCATTGAAGTTATTTCATGGTTTATATAAGTGTATATATGTATATAGATACATATCCATATCCATATACATACATATGTTCATATAAATGATTGTTGTTTGTAAATGGGGAGAGAGAGATAGATAGATAGATAGATAGATAGATAGAGAGAGAGAGAGAGAGAGAGAGAGAGAGAGACCTCCACTACTATGAGCTGCAACAACATGATCATTGATATCAGAGAGTGACTACAGTAAAGCAAAGATTTAGTATATAGGAAGCAAGGTTTTGCAAACATATAACAAAACTGAGAAGAAAATTAAAAGGAAAGATGAAGCACAACCTCACAAAGAGCACTTTTGCGTTCTTCAATTAGAAAAACATCTACTAAACCATATGATGTGTCACACAAGGATTGAACAAACTCAAGGGACTCATTATATGTCCCTTTACGAAATTATGAAGGATTTGTATCTGGCAATGGAGGTTTAGGATTGGATCTATCATGCTTTTGCTTTGGTGAACCAGGTTACTTCTGACAAAAGAAACATTACATATATCAAATGCATATTCAAGTGTAGTAGTCAAGAAACCAATTGCTTCTAAGTAGCTATGTCAAGTAATTACTTAAAAAAAGAAAATAAATTTGCAAGAAGATAATGACAGACCTGTGTAGATAGTATTAAAAGATTCAAAGGAGCAAAAACCTCAAATTATGCATATACCACCTTGTATTCCTCATCATCATTAGCAACAATATCTTTCTGCTTGTCTTCAAATATCTCTTTAATAAACTTATTAAAATACCCTTCTTTATCATCATCACATTCTACAGACTCCAAATCGCCTTTGCTAAATATTCTTTTTATAAAACTATATGAGTTTGATGTCACCTCATTCTCATCTTTACTATCTTTTAAAAACCTAATGAAAAATCCATATTTCTCCTTGTCTTCATCATCCCTTTCCATGAATGTCCCTACATCCTCTTATTTAGAGTCTTCATAAACCAACTAACTTCAAGCAAGAACATTGCTCTTAAACATTTCATCAAGCAACTGGTATGCCAAATTACATGTATATACGAACCAACATCTAGGAAATCTTTAAAAACTTAATTTAAAAAAGATCAACTATGGTGTTTATACACACAAAATATCTGACCACTCTATTGTGAGATTCCCTTTGCATAATTTACACATGTAAAACCATTTACCTATAATACATGACAGGAGTTTTTTATTCCTTTTTTTGATAAATGATGATGACGATGAACCTAATTGACTCTGCAAGCATATCAGAAAATCAAACGCAAAGGACAAAGTTATAATAATTATTTCAACTAATCTTTCGTCATGATTGATTTCTTAAAAGGGAAAAGTAACAATTTAAGAATCAAAAGGTTCTAGGGTATTTGCGTTCACCTGTTTGTGTTGTGTGAATAATGTAGTTGCAGTGGTGGAGATGGTGATGGAGAAGATCCTAGCGACAGATAAGAACATGTAAAAAGTCCATTGCAAACTTAATTCAGGATATCATAATAACCATCGATTCAATGGTTCTTGTTGATGGCGGTCCATCAGAAGTGAGGATGGACGATTAAAACCAGAAAATCTACTCAGCTAAACTTGCAAGACAAAACAAAACCATCATGAAATTTTAAATATTTGCGTAACGAAAAGTAATACATAAATTTTATCAATACCTGTGCATTCATGTTTGCTCCATCCATGTAAACCTGACCTCCATTGTCATGAATAATTTTGCAAATTTCATTAATACCCTCCTCATAAACTCCATGTGTCGAAGGATATGTAACTTGAAATTGAAAATCTTTATTCCCGACATTTTTACATGATAGAGATTGACCGGTCCAATATCTATCACCCATAACTCCTCAACAGAACACCTCAATCGATGTTTATTCCCGACATTTTTCATGTTTATTCCCGACATTTTTCATGTTTATTCCCGACATTTTTACATGATAGAGATTGACCGGTCCAATACTTGTTACCGTCTAAAATAGATAGAAAGATAATAAGCAAATATATATATATATATATATATATATATATATATATATATATATATATATATAGGAAAAGTGAATATGTGACTGTCATGTATGTACTATTAGGTATAGAACCATCAAAATTGACTTTAATTTTGATCAAAAAATACAATTTATTTCACTGTTAGTTTCTTCCTATTGCTTTTGAGCTCATATTATTTCTTATTTCATAATTTATCTCCAACATCAACGTATTTCGAATGTGTTGTTTATATTAGACCTCTAGTAGGCTTCATAACTTTCTTTGACACCTACCATATATATACTTCGATGGTTCTTTTTGATTTGTTATGGGAATAAGTTTATTTGGTTTTTTATTAACAATTTCAATCTTTCACTATAGTTTTCTATATTAAATTTAAATATGAAGATTTATAGGTAGTTGATAATGTACTTTTATACATAGTTTGTGGTGCAAAATTAAATATTTAAAACTCCATAAAAATATGTACAAAGTCTATCATCTAGTCTAATAGAGAATAGAAGAAAGATGGTAGAGAGATTTGATTGCATTTTTTTAAAAGTATGTAGTTTTTGATGGTTCTATACCTAATATTTAGTACATAACAGCCACATATTCCCTAAACCTTATATACATACATATATATATATATATATATATATATATATATATATATATATATATATATATATAAAAATTTTCTGAGTTTTTGACCAGGAAGGTGTTTTTGAAAAAAATAATTACCCAATAGGTACAGTTTTCAACATATTTACCAAAAGAGGTGATCTAGCTATTTAATTAAAAAAAACCTATCGTGCCTAATACTCTCTTACTTAACGACGGAACGCGCCTCATCTTTGGCCGCACCTCCATCTACGGCTACTGCTCCAGCCGGCCACTCCACCTCCGGCCACACCATACGGAGGCGATGCCAGCGAGTCAACCTTTAGCCACATTAATGTCGGCACTCCACCTTCGGCCACAGGGTTGAATTTCTGATTTTAGGTTCGATTTTTTACTTTTCAGGTTCGATTTTTGAAGTTTATATATATTCTGACTTGATTAGGTTTATTGAATACGAATTTTGGAACTTTCATCTTCAATCCATCTGAATACGAGTTTCTGATTATAACGGATTTCTGAATACGAAATTCTGATCGGGTTAGTTACTTAATCTTTAACTTCGTGTTTTTGCTTGGATCATGAGAATGTGATTTTGAATGGCCTTCTGGAGTCGAAGAACAGCCTTGGAACACTTCTTATTGCTACATTTTGCAATGGTTTTTTTGCTAAAATTTACATCGTTTTTTTATGCTAAAATTAGGTCATGAGAATGTGCCTTCCATACAAAAAGGAAATCAAAGTGGGGTTGTTTGAAACTTAGTTTGGTTCATGTATTAGAGCTGAGGATTTGGATGAGAAGTGGAAATACTCCGAAGTCTATTATTGTGATTTTTGTTTTGGCGAGTCTGTTAATAGCAAAAGAAGAAGAAGATTGAATCACTTTGATTCAGTGGTTGTATGGATTTGTTATGGATCACACTGGTCTTTGATGCCTACAATCACTTCTGAAATCTTTAGGGTGAAGCATATGGGAAGTAACACGATTGTTGCAGCTAATCCTGTTGGATCATATATATTTTATGTGTGAGTGATTAGAATGTCTTGAGGTTATATGATGAATGCATTATAGTATTGTATAAGAGTTTTGAGTGTTTGTACAATTGTTTATAGATTTGTATCAAGTGCAAAATATGAATAAAATGTATGAGTTTTATGATTTATAGTAAAAAGAATGTAATAAAAAAACATGTCATTATTTTTTCTTTGTTTCTGGAAATCTATATGGATTTTGAACTTTTTAGATAAACAATCTATTTGTAACTTGTATGCCTATATATATTATGATAAACGATCCGGTAGAACGGTGATTATAATGACAAACAGACATGGTAGAATGGTGGTTATTATAATACGAGAAGAGACTTAAAAGATAAGAATATTGGTGTTTGTAAAAATATTTGATAATCAATAATAGCAAAATGTTTTAAAAAATTAAAAAATATATGTATTAAAACAAAACAGTAAAAACTGAATAATTAAAAAAATATAAAATTTTAAAAATATACCCATTTGGTAAATATTTTTGAAAATATAGCTATTTGGTAAATAAAATTTTAAAAAACACAATTTAAGTCAAAAAAAAACTCTAATTTTTCTTATAAATAATCTCAAAAGATAGCATCAAAACATCCGTTATTTTATATTTGATGAATATTAAACAACAAATATGGAAAACGTGCAAGGTTTAAAGATGTGATAAGCGATAAGCGAATAGGAACCTAAAAAAGGGGTCAATCGGCGTAATTTCAAAGCTAATATCCACGGCCCAACACTTCTTCCTCCCTACGTAGCAAACCCTATGGACACAGATATATAATCGGTTTCAATCCATCTGCACACACTCCTGCTGCGTTGCAGTTTGATCGAGTTTAACTACTTATACCATTGAATTGAATCAAGCGATCAAAAATGTCTGACGAAGAGCATCAGTTTGAGTCCAAGGCCGATGCCGGAGCCTCCAAGACTTACCCTCAGCAAGCCGGTACCATTCGCAAGAATGGTTATATCGTCATCAAGAATCGTGCTTGCAAGGTTAACATCTTTCTTCAATCTCAGTTTTGTTTTGGAAAATCCTTGTGTTGCGTTGTTATATACTTTATTTAATTGTTTTAATTTTTATACGGTATTCTTTATCATGTTCTATTGGTTATGTGTTTTGCTGCTTTGCGTCGAATTGCCTTTTCAATTATGCTGTTAGGGTTAGGGTTTTTGTTGCTTTTCGTCTGTTTTGAGTCAACATGCTTGTATGTCTTGATTTTGCGTAATACGAAATGCTTCGTATGAATGTATCGAGCTGTATATAAATATTATTATGTGATGTTCTATGATTGCGTGTGTGGGTGCTTTCAGGATTCTTGTTGCATTTTGGGTTTTCTTTTATTGTTCTTGCTATAGGCTTAGATTTTTGTTTGCTATTGGGATTTGTTTAAAAGATCCATCAAATGTAGCAATCAAAATTTCCAACAGATTTAGCAAACCCTAAACTGCCATAGTTGCGTGAGAAGCTACTCTTCCTTTTAGATCACATTAGATTCTTGTGGTTTCTTTTTGTTTGTGTATCATTCAAGCTTGATTTTCCTAGCCTTGAGATATTGACATACTTAAGTATATATACGTGTCTACTTGTGTACATATATGAATGTGCCTGATGTACATCATACATAAGCTTCTTTTCTATCATCGTACCACATCAGCAATCCATATTCCATAACCCTTTTTCTTTTACAACCTATCTCCACTATACATGAGCCTTTCAAATGTTTATAGATGGGTCCCTTACTTAAATTGTTTATTTTTCTTTACTATCACAATTCAGACATATTATTTATTTATATTTATAAATTTATATATTGAAGATATATTAATCACTAATGTATTGTGAAATCTTACATGGCAATAGGTTGTGGAAGTTTCCACCTCCAAGACTGGCAAGCATGGTCATGCCAAGTGTCACTTTGTTGCAATCGACATTTTTAACGGGAAAAAGCTTGAAGATATTGTTCCATCATCCCATAATTGTGATGTATGTAATATCACCCCTTTTACTCATTTTAATTCTTCTCTTCATTTTTCTAATCAAACTATTTTTTTTTTTTTTTTTCTCTTTACAGGTCCCCCATGTCAATCGTACCGATTACCAGCTAATTGATATTTCTGAAGATGGATTTGTATGATACTCTCTACTCTGGCCTCTGAATATTTTTTTATAAAATTGTCATTATATTTTGATAATAATATATATGTTATTTCAGGTGAGTTTGCTGACTGAAAATGGTAACACCAAAGATGACCTCAAACTCCCCACCGATGATACTCTCCTCACTCAGGTATTATTTTATTTATTTTCTGAAAAAGTGAAGTAGAAATGTAGAAGGTTCTACTGTGTTTGGTGTGCATTAGACTGGAACTTGTAATAGAATACGCCTGATGTCCAAGAATGTAGAATACAGGGCGGGGGTCATGATTGTGCAAAAAGACATGAATACCCTTTTGTGGGTCTTATCTTTTATTGCGATTAATTTTGAAAGAGATTGATTGATGTTGATTGCAGATAAAGGATGGATTTGGAGAGGGGAAGGACCTGGTTGTGACTGTTATGTCAGCAATGGGAGAGGAACAGATTTGTGCTCTCAAGGACATTGGCCCCAAATAACTTTTCAAAAAATCCACAAACACCACACTATATTGTATTGTGGTAATTAATTAATTATCAGTAGACCATATTTTTTATATTTTGTCACAATATATTATAACATTTGGAGAAAACAGAAAAAGGAGTTATGTTTTTATTTTGTTTTATCATGTAACAGATGCTATGGAATTATTATTCAATTTGGTTTGTGAGTCTGATATCCATATTCGAATATTGGAAAACATGTCTGCAAAAAGAAACAGTTTGATAAGCAATTAATTGAACCAAATAAGCTATTTTCCAAATTGGTACTAGAAATGTCATTTCTGAAACTAGAATCATCAAGTACTTGAAAATTGAAATGAAGCAAGTCATGGGTGTCGTTAAGAATGGGTAATCCTTAACTTTAGTTGGTAACATCATTTAATGTCATCAATGATGTGTTTCCTACCTTTTTTGAATTTTTTTCATTATTATATACCAACTAAATTATACCACACCAATTTCTTTTTTTCCCATATTTGGTTTAAAAACCCATCGTGCCTGTTTGAAAGTAAGTTGTATAAAGTTGAAATATGGGCATTAAATCATTCACCTGTCCTTTGAAATAGACACTTTTTTTTTTTTTTTTTTTTTTGCATTTTATGGTGCCACAAAATAATTGAAATATTTATGGCTAATTAATGGAAGTCTCAAAACATGTTCTAGGTTTTGGGTTTAAACCTCTCTCTCTCACTCCTTTTTTTTTTTTTTTTTTTTTTTTTTTTTTTTTTTTTTGTATTGCTAAAAAAAACCCAAGGATGAAACATGTGTGTTCATTGGGGCTCATTTAAATTATTATTATTATTATTTTTTTCCGGCTTAAACCTAATTGCTATTATATGACGAGTTAATGGTGATCATGATGTTTGATGCTTTGATGATGCGTTTATAGTGACAATGATATGATACTTTATATGTTTAAATGGTAATTTTCATTTTATGATATTGCATGCTGAATGACATTAAAGATGCTAAATTATCGTATATATGTTTCATTTCATGCCTTAGATAACTTTATATGATCTAGACATTTATTTAGGTTTTTGAAGTTCGTAATTTATACACTTAGCATGTTTCATCATTTATGCCTTTTACATGTTTTTGGTTAGTTTGTGTGGTCTGGATATTCTAATGAGGTTTTTGAAGTTTATCGAGGGTGTTAACTATATATTCTAGGTGCAAGAGGCGTGATGTATTAAACAAGTCAAACATGTCACAACTCATAGTACTCATATCTATGTATGCATTATCTAATCTAATGTGTCCACATACATAAACCGGAGTTTATTGTTGTCATAAGGCTTTGCTTTGTCACTCATGTACCATGTGTTTGCTTTTATCTTCCATATTCTTGTTGGTCCAAGGGAATGTTTCATCCTCATAATCACCACAAACTCATTATTAAATCATCACAGAATAACAATTAGGTTCAAACCAGAAAAATGCCAAATTGTTAAAGATAGGAGTTAACTTGAAAACGAGCTTAATTTGCCAACCAAAAAGGTACGTACCCTCTTGAGATTTTTCTTGGAAATGAACAAAAAATTTAGGTTTAAATCAGAAATAGAAAAGTATTGGGTCATTATTTGTAATTTATGCTAGAATTTAATAGGTGTATGTTAGGTGTTAGTTATTTATTATTTATTTATTTATTTTTTCTTTTTGGCGTGTTTTCATTAATTGGTATCCCTCCATATACATTGTAGCTTTCTCCCGTCTTTTTCTAAATTCAAAACTTCAAGAGGCATGGAGACAATACATACACCTCAACGGCTCAACCCATGCATGTCACCTTTTTCTACTATTCATTATTTTTTTTTTCTTTTAATTTTGTACATTTCAAGATGACTTTATTTCTAAATAATTAGTTGTTGACTATTGATAGATAATAATAAAAAAAAAACCATACAAAGATTTGACTTGATTTGATTACAATTTATAATTCGTTTATGATAATCATGATCAAGATAAGTCATCAAACGTGTCACCCTCGAATTAATTCCTAAGGACCCATGTCGTTAAATTCATCATTATTCATAAATACTAAGGTATTTCCATAATTTATTTTAAGAATCTAGAACCGATGAATCCCGATCGGAGATCAGAGGCTGAAGACGTTGTTCTCCATTATCACCAACCAAGAGAGACGTGTATCTTTTTATACTACTAACACTTATAAAATTGATAGTAATTATAGAATCTAACATAAGATTATAAATAAAAAATTATTCATTTTCATGTACTAATGGGAGGCAACAATGATAGGTTCGTAATAAAGAAAGTAGCTAGGAGTGCAAATGGAGCACACCACATGCCTTTTGTTTCATCGGGAAATGATTATTGTTATTGCAAAGCTACCAATAAAAGAAACTCTTCTAAAGTGTTACGAAAATGGTCATAAGTAATACTCATGACTTTTGAAATGGTGGATCCTTTTAGTTCATCTCCACTTCCATGGCCTTTTTTCATAACGAAAAAAATAGTAAACTGTAACTTTAGTCATAGGTTATAAGTTCTCATGCAATTGATTATATATATATATATATATATATATATATATATATATATATATATATATATATATATATATATATATATATATATATATATATATATATATATATATATATATATATATTGAAATGAATGAAATACCACACCAATAGGCATGAGAGTTATCTTATATAAATACTAGAAAAATGATACAGTATACACCCCTCAAGTATACAATAAATCTAATAGTTTACATAAATATAAGCTAGACTAATATCCCCCCTCAAGCAAGAGGCGGTGACCCAAGGCGCAACATGCGACGAAACTGCTCAAACTGCGGTCGAGGAAAACTTTTGGTGAAGATGTCAGTGACTTGAAGCTTGGTAGGAACAAACATGGTGACTAGTTTTCCGGATGCAACTAGTTCGCGAACAAAATGATAGTCAAGGTCAATGTTTTTAGCATGTTTGTGAGCGACTGGATTTTGAGTGAGAAATAATGCACTCTGATTATCACAAAGAAGTGTAGGACGACCGGTGGGCAAAGCATATAACTCTTGTAACAGATGAGTAATCCAAATAATTTCAGCTGCCGTGTTCGCCATGGCTCGATATTCAGACTCACAACTGGAGCGGGAAACTGTGGGCTGTTTCTTAGCACTCCATGATACAAGATTACTCCCCAGGAATATCGAGTACCCATAAGTAGAGCGGCGAGTTTCAAGACACCGGGCCCAATCGGCATCAGAATAACCAATAATGGCAACAGACCCAGGGCGTGTGAAGGTGAGGCCAAACGGTAGAGTACCCTTGGCATAGCGAATAAGGCGTTTAACCGCCTGAAAATGAGCCTTGGTCGGAGCAGCAAGAAACTGGCTAAGTTGGTTAACCGCATAGGAAATGTCGGGGCGAGTAATGGTCAAATATTTTAGAGCGCCAACCAACGAGCGGAAGAGGGTGAGATCGACAAAGGCAGGACCGTCACGAACCAAAACGGTATTGGCAGCAAGAGGAGTAGGCACCGGTTTGGCATGAAGAAGACCGACACGTGAGATAATGTCATGAGCATACTTGGCCTGACACAGAAACAGGCCACTAGAATGATGCACAGCTTCGAGGCCAAGAAAGTAATTTAGCCACCCAAGATCTTTAATACGAAACTCAGCATGAAGACGAGAAATAAACGAGGATATGATAGCATCATCGGAGGTGGTGACAATCAAGTCATCAACATAGACCAACAAATAAATAATGCAGGAGTATCGGCGAAACACAAATAGAGACGGATCAGCACGGCTACAAGTAAAACCATGCTGAACTAAAAACGAATTGAGATGATGAAACCATGCACGCGGTGCCTGTTTTAGACCATAAATAGCTTTATTAAGTTTGCACACATAGTCGGGATGACGAGCATCCGCAAAGCTCGGGGGTTGGTGCATGAACACCGTGTCATCCAAGGTTCCGTGAAGGAAGGCATTGTTCACATCGAGTTGACGCAACCGCCAACCATTAACAACGGCAAGAGTGATAACAACACGAACGGTAGCCGCCTTGACCACCGGACTAAACGTATGAGAGAAATCAAGACCCGGAACTTGACTAAATCCTTGCGCAACAAGGCAAGTTTTGTGGTGCTCAACTGTCCCATCCGCACGATACTTGGTGCGAAACAACCACCGGCAACCGATAATATTGGCATGAGACGGATGAGGAACGAGAGTCCACGTCTTATTTTGATGAAGAGCCGCAACCTTAGCATGCATGGCATCATGCCAATGAGAAATACACAAGGCATCCGCATAAGACGAAGGCACCGGGGCAGAAAAAACCTGCGTAAACAAAGAGTGAGAATGTAAGTGTGCCAAATCAACCCGGTAACGCGGCTTGAAGATCCCAGATTTCGCCCGTGTGGTCATCGAATGAGAGGGAGGTGGCATGCGAGGCGACGGAGGAGAATCCGACTCGGAATCAGGGCCCGATTCAGCACCAGTATCAGGATCGGAGTCAGACCCAGACGACGAAGCATCGGAGGCGGATGATGGATCAGAGGCGGCACCCTGCGACGAGTCGGAATCAGACGGGAAAGCTGCCGGCGTCTGGGGCGGTAGCGGATCAGTACACATGGCGCAGGGGCGCAAAATAGTCGGGTTGGAGACCTTGGGAGGAGGAGCAGGAACAACGGCAGGAGGAACCGCGGGGTCGACGTTTTCGGAACCAACGACAAAGTACTGCAGCGGAAGAGACCCAATATGGACGGTAGTATGTGTGTCTCGAAACGGAAAACAGGATTCATCAAACTGGGCATGGCGGGTGACAAACACACGATTAGAAACCGAATCGAGACAAAGAAACCCCTTGTATTGTGAGTGATACCCAATAAAAACACACGGAATGCTCCGTGATGATAGTTTATGATCCGCATAGTCCCGCAAATATGGATAAACCCGACAACCTAGAATACGAAAATTGGCATAAATGGGGGAGCGATCAAATAAAACCTCAAATGGAGAGCGCATGACCAACACCTTAGTGGGAAGACGATTAATTATGTGCACCGCGGTACTAAAAGCATGCGTCCAATAAGAGACCGAAAGATAGACATGAAACATCATAGCAAGACCCGTTTCCACAATATGGCGGTGTTTATGTTCGACCCGCCCGTTTTGTTGAGGCGTGTAAGGGCAAGAGATACGGTGAAAAATGCCAT